TCAGCAAGTTTGCAGATTATAGAAAATTGGAGAGGAATGGCTGATACGCTACATTTTTTTGCTGGCATTCATTAGGACCTTGGCAGGCTGGAGAAAGGAGCAAACAGGAATCTTGTGATGTTCAACAAAGAGAATTGCAAAGTTCTGCACTGGGAAGGAATAACCCCATGCACCAATACAACCTGGTGGACAACTGTCTGGAAAGCAACTTCCCAGAAAAAGACAGTGGGGTCCTCATAGACAACAATTTGAACATGAGCCAGCAATGTGCCCTTGCAGTAAAGATGACCAACAGCTTCCAGGGCTGCATTAGGGAGAGCTTTGGCAGCAGGTTGAGGGAGGCGACCCTTCCCGTCTCTTCAGAGTTGGTGAGATGTCTCGAGTGCTGGGTCCAGTTCTGTGCTACCTACTATGAGAGAGACATGGACATACTGGAGCAAGTCTAGTGAAGAGCTATAAAGGTGATTAAGGGGTCGGACCATCTGACATACAAGGGGAAGCTGAGAGAGCTGGGACTGCTCAGCCTCGAGAAGAGAAGGCTCAGGGAGATCTTATCAATGTATATAAATACCTGATGGGAGAAGTGAAGAAGATGGAGACAGGCTCTTTTCAACGGTATCCAGTGAAAGGCAAAGAGGCAATGGACAGATTGAAATACAGGAAATTCCATTTAAACATAAGAAAAAACTTTTTTACTGTACACTGGAACAGGTTGCCCAGGGCGGCTGTAGAGTCTCTATCCTCAGAGGCATTCAAAACCTGACTGGACACAGTCCTGAGCAACCTGCTCTAGTTCATCATGCTTTGAGCAAGGGGTTTGACTAGGTAATCTCCAGAGGTCCCTTCCCACCTCAACCCTCCCATGATTCTACAGCAATGCAACAAACAGGAAGTGTGAGTAACGCATGACAGTGGTGAGAAGTGTCTTTTCAACTGAGAAATCTGCACATCAGGCTGGGATAGGTTTACTTTGATAAATCTTAGGATTTAAGGTATTGCTTGCTCTCCAGCTGTAACAAAATCAGCAGCAGACAGCGTGTGCCTAATGCCTTAGCCATTTCCACCATCTGAGGTCTCAGCTTACTGGCAGTTTCTTACGACAGCAAGTGATAAGCTCCAGTGGCCGTGGTGAACACAAATGCTCCAACCCACCACCACTGCTACACCAAGATGCATTAACTTGATTGCCCTGTCAGACCCTAATGCAATGCAAATAACTGGCTATGCAGGATAGTTACTAATATCCCAGGGAAACAATTTTTTTTATGCTAATATACCAGCACTGCAGAATGATTACTGTCATGTATGTTATCTGTCCACACAGATCAGTCTACATATGTCTGTGAATTATATGTACGTGCTGTACTCAAGCACTATATACAAATAGTCCTGAACTACCAATGAGTTATACTATGGTTGTAATGTAAAACTCCGAAGAGTTATGAAATGCCCAGAATTAAAACTACCTGTGCTATTTTTAGTTTACTGCTACTTTTTAGAAGACTGAGATAATTTTTAATAATGTGATCACTTGCTATTGTTCTACACAGTCTCTCAGCAGCACTGAGCAGGTAGTTGATTATTTTACATTTCTTTTATTTTTGTCAATACACAAGGTGCCCAAAGCATCGAAATGGCCTATCTTCCACAGAATTCCTAATTTCCTGATTGTGTTTGTTCCCATTGCTTCCGAGTGCTTCAGTGATGTTTTAAATTTAATTTACCGTAAGAATCTGAGGCATGGCTAGCATAAGTCCAAAATTGTCCTAGGCATCCCCTAATACTGGATGTAAAACTTAAGACTTCTAGAGCACCATTTTTCAGATTATTTTACATTTTATATGTTCAAAACACATGACTACAGCTATAGCTATGAATACACAATGTTTCCGCAAACCATATCCTGGTGATAACATGTGAGCTGCCAAAAAATGATGAACAAAATACTAGCTCTCAAAGAGAATTTGCTCTCTGGGATAGATCCATTTTGGCTATGGATGCCACAGAAAGCAGTTTTCTTGCTGTTAGCCACACTGAGTGTGACGACCTCTCTCATCAGTTATATTCACTACAACCAGCCTTTGCAACAAATCAATGAAAAAATAGCCTTGTTCATTCCCACAACAGTAGCCATCTAGTGTGCTTCTGCACATCAAAAGCAAGAGTCTGGTGAAAAAGCTGAACATCTACTCTCAAGGCTCTGAATTAGGATTATGCTAGCACTGTTTTCTCCAACTTTTGCATCCTTAATTTTGCAACATGAAGGTTATTCTCATGTAGTCATTACAGATAAAATATAGTAACTGGAAAAAAAAAAAGAATAGTGAAAAATTCTGTCCTACAGAATCACACGATATCTGTGTCGGGCCATTCATTCAGCCGTGTATGTATTGATCCACACCATATAAGTCTACTGCATGATTTAATGAGGTTAATTAGTGACCGAGTAGTCAATGTAGACCAGGCACTTGAAACACACTTTGTTGGCACCCTAGGCCACAGCTCATGGATGTAAAACTTCCTTCCTTTACCTTTAGGAAAGAAGCATGTGACAGCAGTACTGTTGTTTGCCTTCCATGAGGTGATTCTCCTTCTGTCTAATGCAGCCAGGCTGGGGTAGTCGGGTGAAGTTTAATCACAGTGAGAATCTGGCTCACTGAATTAGTCTTGTAAAGTTAGGTTCAGACCAGAAAAAAAAATTCAGGTTAGAAAAGACCTAATCCAACCTCCTGCTCAAAGCAGGGTTAGCTATGAGTCAGACCAGGTCACTTAGGGCTGAGGTTTAGCAAGTCATAACTTATTGGTTTGACCCATGGCAAATAACTACTTACCTACCAAGAGGTCCCAGGAAACACAAGGTAAAATGGCTCAACTAAAGAGTCCATAGAAAGGCTTCAGCTAACATGTTTCACCTTGTATTTGCTGAGGGCTAAAATTGGGCATGTTTTTACTGTTAACTTCATTGTGTGCTTGAGGCATCATTAAATATATCAAGGTCATGCATCTCTCTATACACATTCCTCAAAATCACTTGCTCCCAGCATTAGGAATCTGCAAAAATGAAGAAATTTGCCAGGCACCTGCCCTCTTCTGCAGCCAGTAGCTTCCGGGAATCTTTCCAATAAAGCACATGTTTTCGGAACACTTTTACAAGCATTCTCATTTTTTCTTCCTAGTGAAAATAATGAATAGAGCATTGGTAAGAGCGATGAACGAACATTTCCTTGTTTTCTGCTTTGCAGAAGAGCAACAGAGCTGTCAAAGAGCTAACACCGAAAGACAGGTAAATCTTGTTATTCCCATTTTACATATTACGAAACAGAAGTATTAACACATTGTAATATCAGAGCAGCCTGCAACATCTTTGCTTTTAAATTATCTGTGAAGAGCAGGCTTTCTACCATTTTTTAAACATGATTCTAAAAGTATAATCATTAATGAGGCTGCATAGAAAAGAAAGATGAAAAATGCCACCAACATCATACCATTTCAGATTATATTTTTATATAAGTTGCTTTTAATATTTTATTTTACAGTACTCTTTCATATGCAGAGTCTTGTAAGAATTTAAGGTCATTCCAATAGTTGGGCATCCCACCGCAGAGGTCAGGGACAGGGCAGCAGGCTTATTAAAGCTCATATTCTTTTGCTCATACCATTTCTGAATGATAGATCTCACTAGCTGACAACACAATATTGAGGATGCACCTTCTCCCATGTTCCTGTCTTCCCTCAGGCTGACCTGTACTATGCATTACCATGCAAAATGTTGGCAACCTTGCCAGAAGAGTATTACCCTCAAGGGATTCTTAGAAGTGCTTGGGGACAACATGGTTTAGCATAAAGAACTCTTGTTCACTGTCACAGGGGTCCCAGACACTATTTTATTAGCTCCCTTCTTCTGCAGATACAGTGATTACAAAAACAGTTCTGGAAAAAACTGTGTTGCTACTCCTTATTACACTATATTAATCTGAGAAAGTGAAACTGGGGAAAGAGAAGAAATACAAAATGTTGCATTGTATGCAACAATACCTTGTTGCCATAAGGTAAACTGGCTCCAGTCTCCTTTTTCTCGTAGATTCTCATCTTCAGGCAGGAAGAGGCTTCTTTTTTTATCCATCACAGCAAGCCCATCATCCCGAATGAGCTTCCAGTTTTTTTCTAAGGACTGTTTAGAGAGGCATGTTACTGCACTAAGAACTTACTGTGTTTGGCTTTAGTACTGTTTTTATTTTTCCCTGCCATTATTAACTTTTTTTTAAATTTAAAAGCACTAAAAAAGTGTTCAACACCATTATCAAGTTTCTTTATATTCAATTCCCTTCTGACACATTAAGGCAGGAGAAACAACTTTCACAGCATTCCTCTGATTCAATTACATTGGAATCATAAAATTTCAATAATCCCCAGCCTCTTTGCAGACTAGGCCTCACTTTGACTTGTTTTTTGATTAGCCTAAGGGCTCTTTAACAGATCATTTTGTGTTGCAAGCTAGGAAGAGTATTGATCTTCTTAAAGACAGCACATGTTACCTGGAAGCAATCCTGCGACTAGAAAACCCCTCGCATAACCTGGAACTCCAGGCATTGGCAGAACATCACGGTTCAGAGTACAAATGTAAACAGGCCACTGAAGTTGATAGTTATGATTTAAACCTTCAAAAAGGTTTGCAAAGATTCACTTGCACATGCTAATGCTATTGAAAAAGATCAAATACGACTTGAAATGCCAGGTGATGATTTATGGACACAACCATTAAAAATGTGTAAGCTCCTTGTACTTCATACACACCAAAACCACAAGATCATAGAATTAAAAATTCTGTTCTCTGCTGCTTTAGGACATTATATTTGTAAAAATCAGATAGATCAGAAAACCTTTTATTCTACCAATAAGTCATTTTAATGTTATAGCAATATAAATGAAAACCCCACAGCCTAACAATGGACCTGGATAAAAGTGACTTCCATTTCCCAGCTGCTTACTTTACTCACTAAACCTTATTCTGGGTGAACAATTTTCATTTTTCCTTTGTGCTTTTGAACAAAGCATTTCTGTAAGACATTTTCAATCAATTTCATACTGAAAATAGGCTGTGTTCCCACACTACCTCTTTATATGATGTGTGAAGCTGAGTAAAACTCAAAAGTCTGTGAGACTAGGTGATGTAACTGCCCCTTTTTAGCCTTAAAACTCCATATGGTTATTAGTCTTCCCCATTTAAATTAAATAGTTGCATTTTCCACTTGAGTTTTTTCAATTAAAAGGCAAGCTGATCACACAAAATAGGCTGTATGTTGATATATCATAAAAGGCTCAGCAAGCCGTGGCTAGAACATACTGTCTGTAGTACAGCAACTTTCTCCCACTAGAACATTTTTAGGAAAGCTAGGACCTGTGAAAATTAGGATTGCACTTCCATTATTACAATACTCTCTTCTTCTTCCTAGCAAATTGTTTTCTCTCTCATCCATCAGTAAAGGGGAATTAATCCTGGTGCATTCACCTTATTCTCTCCCACTGATGGGCTTCCATAACACTTGTTTAACAGTTAACATTAAGTAGGAATGTTTCTTAGAATATCTTCGGAAAACTGACTTTTCCAAAATGCAGAGTACAGAACAAGACTGAAAATTTCCACCTGATCAGAGATGAATATGGGAACAGTGTTGGTACTGATTCAGCACTACAAAAGGAAATACCAGCTTGGGTACCTGATTTTGCACTGGCTGGAGAAGAGAAAGAAAAGAATAACTTATATTTACATAGGCCTCAAATTAAAGTGATACAGATCAACAAAACTGGAAAACTTTAAAAGATATTACAAGTGCTTCTCTGTTTACTCAAACTCCTCCTACTCCCTCGTCTGAAAAAAGGTAAGAGGGAGCATTTACCCAGGCAGACAAGATGATGCATGAAGAGTACTGGTGGTCCAAGGAGTTGCAGGCAACAGCTGCTTTGTCACCTCTAATCCTTCACAAGTGCCACAGGCTGAAAGTTAACCTCCAAAGGTGTGTGTTTGTCCTTGCCTTTTAAGACTCCTTACCTAACACGTTGGATATGAAATGATTTGAATACATACCATTGATTTTGAACTAGCTTCTCAATGCTTTTAGACATAACTTGCACTGAAATCAATAGCATCTCTATACTCCTGAAAACTTGGATCCTATCTATAAAAGACACTGACAGTGCTTTACTATGAGTAATAGGCAACTCCTAGGTAGAAAGGAAGCGGAGAGTTACAGGAGTTCAAACACAGCCTTGATCTCTCTGATTTTACAGACTCTTAGGCATACATTGAATGGTAAGAACACATAACACCATTAAAACATAATGACTATGGCTCTTGATCCAAGAGCTGGTGTCTACAGAAAAAAGTTAAATATGTTTATGCTCCATAAGATGTAGGGATTCAAGCCTCAGGTTAGAGCCACAAATTCATGTTATATTTGGTGCAATATCCTGATTTCAAGTGAAGAATCAGGTGGCAAACAGCATTGGGAGCATATGTATTTGTTTCCTAGCAGCTGATTCCCATAAACCTCCATATGGCTTTTTAAATACAGTTCCTAACAATAATGGAAGTTTACAGTTGCTTTACATCTGGCAGTAGCGTAGATTTTATTGGCGAAGACATTACTGTATTTAAATAGGTATTTCTTAATATTGGTTTATTTTTATGTGTGACATATTAAAAGAATCCTTACTCTGTGCTGTCAAACCCTTTCAAATGCACGGTCATAAATGACACAGGCAGGGATTAAGAGGTTACTACCCCTCACGTGAGGCGTAACTACTGACCACACATCCATTTTAATCCATTGGACTATAAAATAAAATCATGGTGAAGACTTCAATCTATTTCATTTTGTTACTGAAACAGTGGGAGAGTATTCACGATCAGTTATCGTGTCTCTGCTGGGGAACACTGATGACCTCCAAGTAAGGGGCAATATTTTAAACATTTTGAAAGAGATACCTTGCATCCATTTGGTCACTCAGAGTGCTTGAACATTAGCATGTGTACGCATCATCTCTGCTCTTTTCAACACAGTTTTGCTTGCAGCGTCATATGTTATTACAATCGAGCCTGCTTTCTTTCAAAACTTCAAGTACTTTCTTGAGTTATAGGGGAAACACAACTATACAAATATTTTTCCTGATGCATTTAACTTATATTTTGGATTTATACTTTCAACTGTGAATGTTATCTTGAAGAATGTAAATCTTACCACCCCCAAATTATGACACCTATGTAAGTAAATTAGCAGCCACAATTTAGTCCAGATTCAATGACATACTGCTAATGAAACAGCTAAAAAATATACCACAAAATGATTGGATTGAAGAGGTGTGAGTGGATTTCAGAGAGGCAGTTGTGCTGTGGAGGTCAGGGGTGAATTTCTATCCTTGTTGGTCTTCTGAATGGCTCTTCTAGGAGCCACACAAGATGCTGATCCAAACCAAGACCTCCATATGTGGTCTGATCCATCTGAAAAACATCCCTTCAAGGTGGAGCCCCGGTCATTTTATAACAGGGAACTGAATTCTTCCATCATTTAAAGCTGACTTGTCTCCTCATGCCAAGGGTGAAGGGATCATTAACTTCTGTGACTCAGGAGTTTGAATGGTTTACATGTAAAAGACTGTAAAACATCACTGCAGATAGCTCTAAAACATCAATAAAATAATATATATTCTTTCTTTTTTGTTTGGCACAGTATGATAAGAAGTTCCCAGTTTCTCCATCTCCTTTATGGCAGGGAGTATCTATTCCTACACATTCCTCAAGAATGAGTTCAATACATGCACATTTCAAATCTTCCCAAACGCAAGTCCATAAAGCTAATTGCTTTTTTTGTGTGACTGAGACTACACTGGAGAATCACACTTTACTCTAAATTTCCTAGCCTTATTTATGTTGCCATCAAAAAAAGCATAACAAGGAGTAATCATATTTTTAAAATTTTTTTCTTTTTTTTTCTTTTTAAATAAAATCATCCTTTCGTAGTAGGTTTTTTAACATGTTATGTAACTAAGTATAATGAAACAACCACTCTGAAGGAAACTGTCTCTTGCAAATAAACATTTATGTTTTAAAATTATTTGTGCGGAATAATTTTGCTAAACCACATACCAATAATTAAAACATACAGGAAAAAAAAAGTTCTTTCCCCCTTTTTAATTTTTTTTAGGAATTATGATTAAAATTATTAAAATTAATAAAAATTATGCTATTTTGGAAAAACAAACTATTATTATGAATAATAACCAGACTACTTGTCTTGCATTAAATAAAAAAAAAGAACTTTAAAGAACTTAAATTCTATGTTGTTATCTTTTGCTAAATCCATCACTGGGAGTCTACACTTGTTTCTCTTATGCAATTAAAAGCTTCCAAAGAAGTCACCAAATATTACACAAGGGATGAAGGACACAGTCTTTCCTGACTAATTAAAAATTCACAATGGGTGTCCCAGACATTACCGAAGTTTGCTGTCATTTTGCACATGAGACATTACAGTTGTCTACCATGCAAATTTTGTATTTATTAATCATATTTCAGCCATCCTGTCCCCATTCTCAATTTTGAAAATGCCTCAGTCTGAGATTGGTGTCTGGTACACACAGGGAGTGATTCAGACTTCACAGATTAGAGTTTTCTCTGCTTAATACCTTAAATTATAGTTGCTATTAAAAAAAAAAAAAAAAAAATCAAAGTAGACCAAAACAAACTGCCTTACCTTCACCAGTTCTGTATAACCAGTTTCCCTTGCTGTCCACCAAGGCTGAGCTTTCAGTCCCTTGACATTGTAGAGGGACCGCTGCCAAACTGATGCAAAGTGACCTCTTTGGTATCCAAGCTCATACCACTTGTATGCCTAAAAGATTGCAGTTGTTAACAACCAAATTCAACCAATCAGCCAAGCTCCCACAGGAAAAAAAAGTAACTTAGGCGTTTTTGATAAGGTAACACTGTCTCTTTGGATGCCGGGGTTAGTCTTCTAATGTAATGTAGTAACAAACACTTCAAGGAAAAAAACCCAAACAAACCCAAAAAACCCCAACTAACAATCCCAAAATAGATCAGTCAGCCAAGGCTGTCCAATCCAATATTAGCAAAATAGGATAATGTTCCCACAACCATTCACACCAAATATTGGTCAGTAATCTAGGCGCCGTCCTTGGACTTAGGAGATCCAATTGTTTGTCATCTTGGGCAACCTTGTTTTCTCTCTGTTTCAATTCTCTACCTATGAATTAAAGATGACTGCCTTCTGCTGCCAATGGAGATGCTGTGATGATGAAAACAGTGCTGACTTTATGGATTTAAATTGTTACATAATTATCTAATACATATATGCACTTGAGTTTCTTCAAATATTTGTTGTCACGCCAGAATTGAGCTGATGCTACTAATTTTTCTTGCCCCTTCCCTTTATTTCAGATGGTAGAAACCTACTGAAGTTAATACCAGACCTTTGTTTGTCTTACTCTCCCTTTCCACAACTTGCTTTACCACTGTATAGCAGCAAAACAAGGTCCTGCAAAGGAAGAAAATGGGATGCTTGGAAAGAAAATATCCAGCATGAGTAGCACTGTGATGAACCATATACAGAGAAGGCTACGTATAGCTGCCTCCTTCCTGTCCAGCTTTGCTGCTACAGCTGCAATATTTTAGACAACACAAAAAAAAAAAAACAAACCGGATATGACAGAACAGCTAAGTAGGGAGACACGAGTTAGGAAGTCCAGAGCAGAGGGACTAAAGCAGGCAGCAGTCCCTGCCTTGAACAGAAACTACCTAAAAACCTCTTTACTTGGAGTCATGCACAGCGTCCCTCTCTAGCTACACCGCTTCAAATTTGCTCCCTCCCAAGCCTGCAATCTATCCAATTCACCTCCACCTAAGTGTCACTCATCCAAACTTGGACCATGTTCTCATGCTCCTTCACCCAACCTGATATTTATTCTTATCTCACTCTGCATAAACCAGTGTATAATTTCACCCTTATGCTTCCAGTTACTAATACTCCCCCTACACCTCACAATTAGCCACCTTCCCTGGATGTACCCACCTCCTTGCCAAGTTCTCCTCAAAAAAACAAACCCTCCACTTTTCTTTCCACCAGGAGTATGGAAAATCTGGTGTGCTGGTTTTGGCTGGGAGAGAGTTAAATTTTCTTCACAGTAGCTAGTATGGGGCTATGATTTGGATTCGTGCTGAAAACAGTGTTGATAATACAGGGATGGTTTCATTACTGCTGAGCAGCGCTTACACAGGGTCAAGGCCTTGTCTGCTCCTCACCCCACCCCACCAGCGAGGAGGCTGGGGGTGCACAAGAAGCTGGGAGGGGACACAGCTGGGACAGCTGACCCCAACTGACCAAAGGGATATTCCACACCATGTGACGTCATGCTCAGCATAGAAAGCTGGGGGAAGAAGAAGGAAGGGGGGACATTCGGAATGATGGTGTTTGTCTTCCCAAGTAACGGTTACACATGATGGAGCCCTGCTTTCCTGGAGATGGCTGAACACCTGCCTGCCCATGGGAAGCAGTGAATGAATTCCTTGTTTTGCTTTGCTTGCACGTGGGGCTTTTGCTTTCCCTATTAAACTGTCTTTATCTCAAACCACGAGTTTTCTCACTTTAACCCTTCTGATTCTCTCCCCCATCCCACTGGGGGTGGAGTGAGCGAGAGGCTGTGTGGTGCTGAGTTACCAGCTGGGGTTAAATCACAATATCTGGAGAAGATGAACACTGTTCCCAGTCTCATTCTGGTATGGTAGTTTCCCTGCATGACTAACTATTTCAATTGTTATTTGTTTTTCAAAGAGAGTAATTTCTCCTGTTCTAACTCATGAGCATATGACAGTTGTCCATTAATCTGCCCACGTTTGACATGAAGGCTGCAAACAAAAGACTTACTGAGACAAAAACCACAGTACTAACTCTTAAGCTAAAGAAGAATTTTAGGTATGGGGTCTAATGGAAAGCAAAACACACAATCAAATAAACACATCTCTAAGAGAATAATTTGTGTCAGCTTATTATTTCTGTTTACCTTGAAGCCAGCAAACTAGAGGGAAAAACAAATCTTTTTTTGGATACAAATCAGCCATGAGAACAGTGTGTGACTTACTATGACTTACTTAGTCTTAGCAGTCAGTCAGTCAAGAAAACAAAAAGCTATTGGAAATTCTTCATATAATGACTTCTTTCTAAAAATTTCCAGGTGTCATCTTAGAGATCTTTTATTTCAGATATAAGGTAAGAAATGACTTTGGGTGGTTTTGTCTTCAAATTTTTACATAAGTCTCTGTATTGTAACCATAGATTATTTTTTGAGAGTCTGTAAATTTTCTTCAGGCTTTTAAAAAATGTGGTACTCTGATCTTTATAACTCTCTTGAGGTATAGAGGAAAGGCCGCAATAGGATGTTGCCTTACAGTAATTATCTGAAGTACAGAAAAACAGTGTGGATGAACAGAGTAACAGCAGACCATATATAAGCTTTCAGCTTTTTTCCCTAGAGAAGCTTTGTAAAATTGTGTATGAGTCAAAAAAAAAAAAAAAATTATGTATTATCTTTGGGTAATACACAGTATATCTTTAAATTTTGATGTTATCTTGGTTAAGTCTCTGAAATGGAAGCATTATGATTTATAACATACGTTCCCCAAGGTGTAAGTTGTAATAGCAGTGGGATATCAATAGATCATTCATGCTGACTGCCTGCGTTCATTTGCAATGTCTGGAGTTAGCTGAAATGATAAGGGCGATGAATTACTTGTTTCAGCCACTGACTGATGAGTATGAATGTTGCTGCTCTTTAAGATCCATCAGCTATAATCACGATGTATAATACTGTTAATCCTTATCTATTAGAAGAATTGTGCTATGAAGTTGCCTTTGACAGCATGGAGTAGTGTTAGGTTGCCTCGCTCATCCTTTCCAGTCCTGAGTTTCCATGAGAAACCTCTCTTTTCGCATGCAGATCTTGGCAGCAGGAAGGCTAAATAATGACCACTGTACTATTCAGGACAGCTACAACAGTATAGCTTCTTTTCCAGGAAAGTAATTGTTTGAGATGCACTCAGTTTATACATTCTGTGTGAACAGCACTTGGTTCTACAATACCCTCTGCAGTTCTAATTTATCTTTTTTTAAGTCAATTTGGCATTTTATCAAATTATAGTTGGAAAGGGCATACTCAACACTGTTTCCCTAACACTTAGCAAGACCACATTCATAATTCCTAATTTAGCTCTAATATCTACCTTCAACAAACCTTCAGTGATAGCAATTTCACATGTTCCTTAAATATTGATCTGTTTCCTTGATTAAATCTTGAAGTTCAGCAAGTCTAGCAAGGTCAGTGAGAAAAATTTAGCTTAACAGTGGACTTTCCACGGATAAATTTAAAAGACTCCTCCATGCCAAGAACTTCATTTGTCATTGATTAAAACTTTTTCTACAGCAGATTTAACCATTAACTCCATAAACATTAACACATAATTATCCTGGGGATTGGAATGATAGACATTAATTACATCTGTGTGGTATCTTTAGTCAAACATTATAATGGGATGCTCTAGGCTCAATCATTCCATCCAGAATATTCCATGGAAGCATACAGGGATTTCCTTTTTGGTTTTCTGTTGAGAGAAGGACAGACAGACAGACTCAGACAGAGAGACAGCACGCGTGCAAGCAGACGCTGTGTGTGTGCGTGCACGCACGTGTGTGTGTGTGATTACGTGTAGAATGAGGCCAACTAATTCTCACTAGTAAATGAAGTTTTAAATTAAAAAAACTTCATTGGATGAATAATTTATTGTACTTTCAGAGAAGGCAATCTAACTTAAAAAATACAGATATTATTACATTTCAATGTATGTATAAGGTATTGTAATCAAAGTTCCATGATTTATAAAAAAAGAAAATTAACCTGATGAACTAGGCTTAAGAAAGATCACTAACATAAGCTTCAGGCCCAGCCAGCACGGGTTCATGAAAGGCAGGTCCTGCTTGACCAACCTGATCTCCTTCTATGACCAGGTGACCCGCCTAGTGGATGAGGGAAAGGCTGTGGATGTGGTCTACCTGGACTTCAGGAAGGCCTTTGACACCGTCTCCCACAGCATTCTCCTGGAGAAGCTGGCGGCTCACGGCTTAGACAGGTGGACTCTGCGCTGGGTGAAAAACTGGCTGGATGGCCGGGCCCAGAGAGTTGTGGTGAATGGAGTTCAATCCAGTTGGCGGCCGGTCACGAGCGGTGTTCCCCAGGGCTCAGTTTTGGGGCTGGTCTTGTTCAATCTCTTTATCAATGATCTGGATGAGGGGATCGAGTGCACCCTCAGTAAGTTTGCAGACGACACCAAGTTGGGCGGCAGTGTTGATCTGCTGGAGGGTAGGAAGGCTCTGCAGAGGGACCTGGACAGGCTGGATCGATGGGCCCAGGCCAATTGTATGAGGTTCAACAAGGCCAAGTGCTGGGTCCTGCACTTCAGCCACAACAACCCCATGCAGCGCTACAGGCTTGGGGAAGAGTGGCTGGAAAGCTGCCCAACAGAAAAGGACCTGGGGGTGTTGGTTGACAGCCGGCTGAACATGAGCCGGCAGTGTGCCCAGGTGGCCAAGAAGGCCAACGGCATCCTGGCCTGTATCAGAAATAGTGTGGCCAGCAGGAGTAGGGAAGTGATGGTGCCCCTGTACTCGGCACTGGTGAGGCCGCACCTCGAATACTGTGTTCAGTTTTGGGCACCTCACTACAAGAAGGACGTTGAGGTGCTGGAGCGTGTCCAGAGAAGGGCAAGGAGGCTGGTGAGGGGTCTGGAGAACAAGTCTTATGAGGAGCGGCTGAGGGAACTGGGGTTGTTTAGCCTGGAGAAAAGGAGGCTGAGGGGAGACCTCATCGCTCTCTACAACTACCTGAAAGGAGGCTGTAGTGAGGTGGGTGTTGGTCTCTTCTCCCAAGTAACTGGCGAAAGGACGAGAGGAAATGGCCTCAAGTTGCGCCAGGGGAGGTTTAGATTGGATGTGAGGAAAAATGTCTTTACTGCAAGAGTGGTTAAACATTGGACCAGGCTGCCCAGGGAAGTGGTTGATCACCATCCCTGGAGGTATTTAAAAGACGTGTGGATGAGGCGCTTAGGGACATGGTTTAGTGGGCATGGTGGTGTTGGGTTGACGGTTGGACTCGATGATCTTGGAGGTCTCTTCCAACCTTAATGATTCTATGATTCTGTGATTCATTATAGTCCACCTGTCTACAGTTTATACTGGAGAACTGCTGACCGACTGGGCCAAGGTACTCAAGAGGTCAGCATTCTTCACAGTATTTTAGGTATCAATATTTCAGACCTATTACTAGATAACTGATTAAACATCAGTTCCACTATGCTTTTTTATTCTTATTCTTTTCACGTTTCCCATCCAGGAACTTGAGTAGGGTTTTTTGGTTTGTTTTTTTGTTTGTTTTTCAGTTCATGCCCACAGTAAAGTTCATTACTAATAACTGTCTTCAACAAAAGGCCTTTGCTCCCCTACCATGGCAACAGTGCTAATTCACACATTTAAATTTGGCTTTTACATTAAATTTGGTTTTAAATTAACAAATTGGAAACTCTTACAGTTTTCAGTTGCATATGTTTGCTTTTGTTGGGCATGCAACAGATTTGTTGCACAAACCTCTGGTTTTCTGATCTGTTTGCTACTTTAATTACTGAACAAATACCATAACTCAGCCTACACGTTGAGTCCTCTCATGATCATGTTTTATCACATACTCAATGGTGCTCAAGGTGACTTTGGGAAAGAAGGGAGGTTTACAAAACGCTGTTATATCAGAGCTATGAGAGAACTTCTATACATGTAATATATATGTAATTGTTTTTTTTTTTAACTCTGGTTAAAATAATTGAATTTTTGAAAAATGTTTGGTCCCGTGGTTCAAACTGCCCCACACAAGCTTCAAAAGTCTAGGTTAGTTCTAAAGCAAGGGATGCTAAGAGATTGTATTGTCACACCAATGGCAATTTTTTTGCTGTTGCTCGCTTTGACCTCTACACACGTATGTTGGATTGTTATTGCAATAGGACTACTCATGTTTTCAACATTAAGCCTGTGCTTAAAAGATTCTGCAGTCCATCGGAGGTTTAGTCTTTAAAGCAAGAACACGTTAAATGTGTACCTCTTTGTCGCCCATTCTCTGCAAGGCATCACCCAGATGAAAATAAAAGCGTCCATCATTTGTGCCGGGGTCACCAGACTCTAGTCCTTCCTAAAAAAAAAAAAGTATAAGAGAAACTTCAATAGGACTTCTAAAATAGGCTACCAATTCTATGCAAGAGACAGGCTATGAAATTGGCTATAAAACATAACTACCATGGTAGCCCGGAACTTACGTTGAATGAATACAATACTTCAGTAAAAAACCACTGAGAAATGTTATCAGTTTTCCAAATGCCATGGCCTCTCCCCTCAGTCCCTCCAAGACAGAGGTGTATTCAGAGATGGACACTTGCCCCGACCCTATATACATATACACAAGCATTTTAGAAAGCTGGATTAAGGTTTTATTTTGTGGTATTTCTTCCCAAACACTCAGAAGTATACACAAGCCCTCTCTGGATTTTTCAAGAACCTTAAGTTTGCAGCATACTACCAAACTCAAAACAATTTGAGACTCACAGCTGTGTACTTACGGTTAACCACTAATAAAACAAATACTTGATGTTTAAGAACTGATGAGTCTCAATGTACAAGCTTGTTCCAGTTTATAGGCAGTGATATAGCAATATAACTCCAACACATAGCTTAAACTGTGATTTGTCATTAGTATGCTTCTACCTTGACATGTTTTATACATTCCAATTTTATTTTTTACAGGTAAAATATTTACTGTAGGTGAGAAAAGAAAAATACCTTTAGATAGGGTATGCTCTCTGCTATCTTGTTTTCTGCCTTCAGGATGAAGCCATAATGTACTTTGGCAAAGCCATCATTTGGAGCCAGGCTTAGAACCTGTTTGAGAGCAAATGAATTAAATAGTCGTGTATGGGTCTGTGCAAATTAACAAACCTGTGCACATATTTCTATTTAGTGATACAACGACATTTTCTTCCATCGCTGACTCTCAGATAAATTCTTGGCTTGACTGTACTTTCTTTTCCCCATTCACTCTTGTGCTTCTCCAGAAAAATCTATTACAAGCCAAACTTTAAGGTCTCAGAAGTAAAATTATTCCAACTGGAATCTCTGAATTGCATTGGTTTTTTGTTGTCCATCTTTCTCCACCCTCTCTCTTGAGTTACAGCATGCTACATTACAGAATTAACACCATTCATTAACACTTAAGTTACCTATCCCAGGTTTGACTAATCTGGAGGAAAGCAGCTGCTTTTGAACAACTCTATGGCACAGTCACGGGAAGCATAGTGTAGAAATATACCTGAAAGAGTTTAAAATTAGATAGGTTTATACTGGTAGCAAACTAGTCTTGGCAAGAGAAAATATACTACGCTGCGAAGCACAGTGAGTACAATTTAGAAAGACGCTGTAAAGTAAAGGTTGCATCACGTGATGGGACTGCGCAAACCCTGGGAACACAAAGGGCATTCTCAGCACGATAGTGAACTGGAGCACTCTCTGGAAGAGCTTAAACTTGCTTGGCCAAGAGAAAGCTATCAGATGGTAATGCAAGGTCTAATGCAGTAGTGATTCAATGTGCTTTCAGACTAGAAGGTGATGGATAAATTGTTCTTGTATAGTTGCGTGCTGCGCTCTTTGACGAAGACCTAGCGTGCTAAATTAAGCTAAAAGATTTTGTATCCTGAGCAGATAATGTCTGAGTTATAACCTGACTTTATTCTGCAGTAAAGGAAAACCCATAGGCAAATATCCAGAGATAGATATTATTTCATGGGGACTGTGCAAGAGAAAGATTTGTGAGTATAGGGACAGCTGTAGGAAAGGATCACTGTACGGGGGAGTGTTTCAGGGAAAGGAGGTGTGAAGCCGGCTGGCCTGTGTTCTGAAACATGTACCCCCAACATTACTCAGATAATTTAAGTGCATTTGGTCTGCCTCAGCCAAGGGAAAATTAGAGAATGTCTTGATCTACTTTCCAGCTCCACGTTTCTATGATGTATATATGCAATATCATTTGTAGCTCTATGTGATATCAATTACATGGTCAAGTTAATCTGTTGTGACTCCTCTTCTCTCCTTAAAATAAGGGTGGACAGTCTTATGAGGACAGATCCTCAGTCTGTGAGGATCATCACAAGTGCCTGGGAGTCAGTGGAATTACAGAGGCTGACACCTGCTGAATGTCTAGCACAGTCACTAAATACAAAACAACGGACAGATGAGCAATTTCTCTTGCCTAAATCCATTTTTGAAGCTACTAAACTTATGCCCTGGATAAAATGTCTGCACACATTACAGCCATTTCCCTCTGCCTTTTCCAGTCACTGTCTAACCTAATTTTTCAAATCAAAACAATTACAAGCAGAACCATAACAAGTCCTCTGGGCCAATTTCTCTGCTTTCTCAAACTTGTTACATACAAACTACATCTGAGCAAAACCAAAATCAGTGCAACGTGGGTATAAAATGTTATGAGTTAAAAATAGCAGCATTTCACTTCTGTTTGCAGAAAATAGCTACTATGAAGGAACAATCAATTTGAGAATCTGTCTGAAGTCTATAACATGACACATTATTAACAAAAGGTGAACTTTTATAGTAAGGGTGAGCTTGACCCCTAGTATAAGAATATGCTACCACCTTATGCAACTTATGTTTTTTTACTGCAGCATTCTGAGTATAATCATTTTGATCCAAGAACCTGTACCTGCAGGGTGAAATAAAATGACTGATAGAAATATTTATTAGCCATATAATTTTGTTACAGTTCCGTTAACTATAGGATAAAGCTATCTGATTAATTAAGACAGAATAGAATTTTCTGTATTACAGTTCATTTTAACTATGCTGAGTTGCATTAAGGCATGATCTACATTCAGAGCCCCTAAAGAGAAGCAGAGAGATACAATCAGCAGAAATTACACTGAAAGTATTTAATGTAAATTGTATTACTCTGTTGCTATTGCTGCGTGCAATATTAATTATGTTTAGAAATAAGTTTTACTAAACTGCTCACAGCCCATTAAATATTAATCATGAATACAGAAATTAACCTCTGGGGCTATCAATGGCTAATTAGCCAGGGCAGAGTACTGTGTTAATGTGGATATTCTGCTTTTGGTACCTGAGATAGCTCAGTCAGAGCTGGCTTATGCATGTCTGTATAATGCTGCACTGACCCATGCAGATTTGCCTCAGCATGGCAGGCAGAAAAAGTGCTATTAGCAGAGTAACTGGTCTTATAAAGTTCTCTCCACTGTATTTTATCATAATCTGTAGATTTTTGAAAACAAAAATCGCTCTAAATTCTACTAGGACTACTTTTAATGTTATGTTTCTGCGTCCCTAAGTGTAACGCTCAAAAGAAAATGCTTTAAGATTAGAGGCAAAACTGAAATCCTCTCCAATTAGACACCATTTTCCATTCGTGGTTCAGCATAAAGTCTGGCAAATGCATATCAGAAAAGTGTATTTTGTGTCTGTTAGACTATACCACACTACAGCTGTAAGTACAAAACACTTGATCTGTAGTTCAGTGTTTATACACATTGCCTCTGTAGCTAAAAGAATCAACATATCATATTTAAGAGATTTGAAATAAAAATGTGAGTATAACACTTCAACAGCTGCTAAGACATAACAAATTTGGAATGGAAAATAGGAATTGAATGGAAAATAAGTAAACTGGCTATTAAATGTAAAGCAGAAAGTTTTCATTCACTAGGATTCCTTGGGCATCTATTCAATTCCTTGGAGATGATGCCAGCTAGAGTTAGTCTGGTCTGAAATGGTATACACTGTAATTCCAGCATAGGGGGCAGTGCCTGTGAAGGGTCCAGCTGGTTGCACATGCTCAGCCCATGCCTAACACAGACTGGTAACACTGAATTAAGATCGAAATGTTATAGCAGGAAGCAAAGGAGGACATGGGTACCTTTTGCCCAAGAATCTAGCAGATTCCCAGGAAATGAGAAATTAGGAGTCCAGATTCTCCTGCACAGAAGAGTGTTCAACTACTTGGGAACTTGCCTGAGGAGCAGAAACAAGTACCTCATACACAAGAAGTTAGACAACCGCAAAGAAAAGAATGTGACCCAGAGGGGAATGAGCAAGAAGCTGAGCCTTTAGTCAAACAAGGGGTATGTTCTCTTGAGGATGAGTCCTGAGCTCTGCTCTCTCTTCCTAGATGCCCATGCCTTCTGCATTAAAGAACACTTGAATAAAATGTATGAACAACCTTACAGTGGGAACCAGAACCCAGGGTTCATAAATATTGGAGGCATCTACCGTGCAGCACTGAGTTCACACTCTTGTCTGTGCTGTCTTACATTTTCTGTCAAATGACTAATTTGTCCTGCACTAGGGAGAAGGAGGTTTTAATCATATTACAGAAGTTTCCCAGGTTTCTCAAAAATCATGGGAAGAGTAAGATGTCTCCTGAAGGCTCCGAGAACCACTCTTCACAGTTTGCCCCTCTCTCTATTGACTATACACAAAGCCTGAGCACCTATGATAGTAGCTCCAAACCATATGCCAATCACTTTCTAAATATGCATGGCAACAGCTGAGCAAAGCACTCAAGAGCAGACCATATGGCTCCTAAGCAATCTGCCCAAAATCATGTAAGAAGCCTTCAGTATCACCAAGAATAAAGCAGGTATACGTGAGCTTCTGCCTGTTTCTTTGGCTATATTTCCTTTCTTAAAACTGTTCATGTAAATTTATCCTGAACTACAACAAAGAAAAAAAATTACATTAATGTGTTGGTATTCAACCTGAGGAATAGCCAGAATATGGACAAAACCCACATGACTTTTAAAAAGAATAAATCCAACTCCTTTTATGAGGTATTTATTTGTTGCTCTTTTACAAGGACAGAACATCACTATCTATTTCAGTGTTTAGTGAACCATAAAACAGAGTAATTAGACTGGATAAAGTCTACGGAAGCATGGAAAACAATGTATTAAAGGTAGACCTGTTCTTATTTTGCATATCTGTTCTTAATCAGAGCAGTGTACACTTCTTCTGAAGTATATCAAACTCAATATCAAAGTAATTACATAGCAAACTTACTACCTTCTTCCATTTATAAAAAATCCTGTGATTTATTGATATTGAGAAATTCTACCATCTATATTGTTTGCAGCAAAATACTGAAAAATTGCAAAGGAACATCTTGCCCAAAAGGAGTATGATTTTTTTTTTTCAAGTTCCTTGCAGCTTGCAAAGCAGGTTCGGTTGATATATTCTATCTTTAAAAGCTGATGTTTCCAATCCTCTGAGAAATTTTGACAGCAGGCCAAAAATTATTGAACAGAAATGTTTTATGGAGGGACCTACAAAGTAGCCAAGTAGCAAAGCAAACATTATTCTGGCAACATCTGAGACTGCCAGAGGAACTTGAGGGGGAAAAAAAAAAAAAAAAAAGGTATTATCATTACTCAGCTCCTGCTTCCGACCATGTGGTTGAATGTCCTCCTTCTCTTTGAGAAACCACCTGAGATGAGAATCCCCTCAGACTTCCAGATGTGGGGGACAGAAAACCGGGCCTTTATTCTCAGGAGGTGGTACTAATCATGCTGACTCGTCCCCAGTCTACATAACCAGCCAATTACCGTACTACGCCTGTACTAAACAAGCACTGCAGCAAGTGTGCCAACATCAACAAGACCGTCTCCAATCAGGTGCTGACAGCTTGTGCTCTACAACTGACGTCAAGCTCAGCATCTGTCAGAGAGTTTCCAGATGTTAACGGGTTTCTAGATCACAGGAGCAGAGTGGCCCTTCCTGGCAGTGAAGTTTCCCCAGCCTGATAACCGTAGTGTAAGATAGGAATACAAATCCAATGAACTGTCCACACTACAAGCGTCATGAAAGAAAAACAGAATTTAGGCTGCCTACAAAAATAATGAAAAACCAAAGGTTAAATAGCTGTGTGAGTACTGAACTACTTTATCACATGGTTAGAGATGGTGTTCCTGTAAAGAAACAGGCGTACTTCTGCTTTCCATGTCTTGCAGATAAGATGTCTTTTTTCATACTATGCATGACATCCATATGTGTTGTCAATATATTCCAAACCTAGCTACCAGAAGGTATAAGAAATCAAATATTATCTAGCATATGAAAAACATTTGCATTTCTCTGTCTATGAGGAAAAACATTTAGCATGACGGTATTGGGAAATCTGAATTAAAATTAGAAGAACTGCACTAGAAAAAAAATCATATCTATATTAACCCTTCAAAACCAGACGTGTTTAACAACTAAAAAAGTTAAAAGCAAGCAATCTTTAGAATGAACATATGAATGAAAATAGTATTTTTCCTTGGCTGGAATGGAAACTCACCTCTTCATATACTTTCTTGGCATTACTGTTATCTCCTATCAAGAGGTAACCAACACCAAGGTCATTCTTGAATGAAGTATCACTGGGAAACAGCTGAACTAATTTCTGTAGAGTAATCAGGGAACCTCTCATGCGACCTAATTTGATTGAACAAGACTTAATTACTACTACAGATATGAGTAACAGTAGCAAGACACTTACACAACATCTAAGAAAACACAAATCATTGCCAGGTGTTCCACTTTCACCAACGACCAAGAAGCAGAACTTGAAAAAAAAAAACTTGTGCAGATTCGAGTATATTCAGCTGCTTGGTTGTCACTGGGGGTGTAGCCGTACAAGGACTATTTCAGGAAATCACTGCGAATGCATATCATGCGGTGTTATGGTAGCCTCTAGTGGAGAACCATTCACAGTGTAGCAAAGTGTAACAACACTTTAAGCTTTGGTTGCTCTTTCACACACAGATGTCAAAGTACTCGACAAAACTAGGTAAACATATCAAAATAAACTTAATCTTAATTGATCGCGGTTAATTAAAACGCATTTCTAGTGTTAAGCAATAGATCCACTATATTTCCATTATGAAATTAATCATGCTTTACGTGCTTAAAATTAAGTACATTCCTCGACTTCCTAGATGAGGTCTTGCTGAGGAACAGCAAGATCAAAACAAGTTGATATTAAAATCCAACCCATGGGACCAGAACTCTTTTCTCCACCGAAGTTGACTGTGCCTCATATTCTAATCAGCACTTCTTGTACATCACAGAATTGAGATCTAAACTTTCGGATGTTATCCCTGAGTTCAATTCCATTCTTCTCTACGTTTATTGAAAGTTTATTCTGGGTATGTTTACTCTGTGCATGCCATTAATCTCCCTCACCTTCAGTAGAAAAAGAACATTTTCTTCTTTCTCTGTCAATAAAAATTTTTTGACCACCTACCATCATAGCTTCTCATAGCACCTAGTGCACTGTCGTCTACAGGCGCTATTGTCAGACAAGCAATTATACACACTAGTTCCCTAGAAAAACTTCAAAGAATTTTAAAATATTTTTCATAAGCATTTAAGAGATTAGGAACACAAGTCCTACTGAAAATTCAATGGAATTGGTGCTTTTAAGTCCTTAGTGATCTTTTGAAACTCTTGCTCACATAACTTCCATAATTTTTACACCGTCCTCAAATCTTACCAAGAAACTGCTGCCTGTCTGCTTCTCGTTTCAAGCTCAGTTTTACCAGATCCGAAGGGACATTTGGCAGACTAACCACCTCATCATAGGTGTTGATGGCTTTCTGCAGCATCTCGTTACTTCTCATTTTCTCAGCTAAGTCATCTTCAGACTAGAAAGAATCACAAAACCATTATTAGAACACATAATAATCCATTAGTCTTAAAAATAACTTTGTTTTCCTAAAAGGCAAACTATGCGATTGTTAGACTATGGGAATAATTTTAGAATTATCTTTAATGTATATAATTTTGGCATAACAATGGAAAGCTTATTTGGTTGTGCTTTATGGTAAAGCAGATTAGAATTACTGTTAATTCTTGTTTCCTGCAAACTGTTTGAAAGCATGAGAAAATTTGAACCTAAAAAATACATTAACACAGATTTTTGGTTAATATTTGTAGAAGTCATAATTTCTGCTTTTGAAAACAAATTAAGCAATCTGTTTTAATAATATGGAAGAAATGTAAATCATTGCCAACGGATTGTTTGTATACTAAGTCTCACACTGGCTGTAACACACAGATCAAAGCACACCAAGAAACATTGCTTTCATATATCTTGACACAAATTTATTTACACTCTTCCTTGGAAAAATAATTAGGAATTGGCTTTACTCTTGCATATGTTGATAGATATCTACCCTACAACTCTTTAGAACTTAAATTCATTCATCAAGCTCAGGAGCAGACCAAAGGATATATGAGATCTCTATTGTGAAATTACAGCTTCAGTGAAGCCAAATGGAAGCTACCACTGATTTCACCTGTGGTATGGCACATTCATAATTTGTTTCCACAGCTGAAAAAAAGACAACTATATCTCAAATGGTGAATTTTTAAAGCATTACTTTGAATTGTTTATAACAAAAGCATGCATTTTCATGTGTCTAATGCATTCTTCCCAAATACTTTATTTTTACTGGTTTATGTTCTTGTCAATTAGCAGAGCAAGGTGTAGGTGCATTGCAAGCACTTGCAGGTGCAGAAGATCTTATTGATCTATCTAAATTAACTGTTGTATCAATCAAACACATTAACTGAAACAACTTCAACTGTGCTAGCTGCATACGCTGTAGTAAATAGCTAATATCTGGAATCTTTTTGCACTTCTGTCCTTTACTTTTTTTCCTTGGGTTACTCTGAAACTGAGTATGGGAAATACCAAACAATGTGGTTACTCAGCCAAACAGTTGATCTGCCGGTTTCAGAAATAACTTCAGAAATCAGTTTTAAGAAATAATATATCTTCCTGATGTACGTTCACTAGGAATTTGCTTTTCCTTTTTTTGAGGGAATTGCAGGGCAAAGAATAGTAAAAGATACATAAGTAAGAGGCAAAAATTGTCAGCATAAAATCTGCATAAATTCACCAGTATAAATACTGTAAGTAATATAAGGAGGTTTAAGACTTATCTACTCTTCTTTTCAGCCTTAATGATGTTAACAATTTCTGTAGAATATTTTTCATCCGGCCTAAGTGTAGCTCCAGAAATCAAATCAGGAATGGCTCAAATTTCTGAAAAACACTTCTAATTATGAAATCTTTTGCAGAATTTTGGGGGAAACAGTTGCCTTTTAAAGCTATTAGAAGATCCAGAAAAATGAATCTTCATGTCTTATTAGAAACTGAATCTACAAAATTAGCATGTAATGTTGGTTCATGATTCATAGAAATGGAGAAGTACACTCTTGTGGTGAATTCCTGGCCTTTACCCTTACTCTTCTCTGCAGTTTTACCTTTAGTTAGTGATGAGAGATAGCAAATTTGAATGTGTTGTGTTGGTATAAATACCCATTTAAAAGTAATACGGTGTTACAATGTAAATCCTAAGAATAATCCATCTGTCCGTGAAGCCCATGATTTTCCCATTCCTTCAAACAGCTTCAACCTACACATACTGGATTCAATAAATTGGTCATGTTAATATGAGTGTTCAGTAAAAAGACTTGTATGAGCCTACAAAGGCTACTGAAAATGGAAATGAATTTACAGTTGTTTTTACACATTCCCAGAAAGTGTATGCCAATTATGACTTCAGATCTTGGTCTGTAGGACCTTTTAAGCATTACTGAAGTTCTAGGTTGTGACTAAAAATTGTTGTAGAGAGACAAATGAAGTTGTGTTACTGCAGGGACTTCTGAATGAGAATAATCTTCACAGCTGGCTTCAATGATCTGCCCTCCTCCCTAAAAGCAGTGAGCTAATGAGGAGGCAGGAAGCATATTCTCTTAGATATAATGAGTAGATTCATAAAAAAGGCAAATAGTAAAAGTGTAAGTTAAGAGAGTTAAGTCTATCACATATATTAACCGAAGTGGTCTCCTACCGTAAGAAGGCAAATAGTTCAGCAGACTGTCCCTCACACAGAGCACTGAAGTATTTGGTCTGCTGTGTATCAAGTGCTTGTGTGATAGTTTTCTGGATAATCGTGGCTTTGGTTTTAGCATGACTATTATTAACCAAGTGAAAACCGGTTGTGACTCCAATTCAAGTGCCTCATTAATTGTATAACAGCACAATTCCCTTCTACGGTGAGGGTTTCATTTTGCTCATCTTGATTAACAGGAGTTCAAGCAATCTTTTATTAAACCAAGTGCAGTGGGATTATCCTACTATTTATGAAAATAGAAGGATTATTCTCTTCTCAGACATCCCAACACGGCTCAAAAGTATTATGAATGCAGAGCTTATTTTCCAATGCTTTCTCTTTTTTTGGATGAGAACATCTGAAACAGAACTCACTCCACAAGAAAAGGCTAATTAAGCCTCCTTGCCTACGAATTTGGGTTCTTTATCCTTTAACACTCTCTCTATAAAAGCTCCAAATCCCCTTCCCTATTCCCACTAAGCGAAACACAGCATTTAGCCCAGAGCTGACTGATGTGTTGATTTACCAGCTGCAGCAAACAGTATGTAACAATTAAGTTCTGCCTGTTGTTCCTGCACTAGGACATTAGTTGGGATTTATCTCTTACCTTTCATCTGATGGTTTTCATGACATCTACAGGATGTATCTTATTTTTGTGTTATTTACCATACTTCCCACTAGACTAAAGTTAAACAAAAGCTCCCGAAGTAATTGGGGAAGGATAGAGGACTGAACAGATACAATATGACAGACCACATAATTCTTTTTTTCCTTAGGAAACATCCAGAAAATTATAAATGAAGTCTGACTGGGATTCAGAACTCTATTGTTAAAAAAGGTTTATTTTATCTTTTTTAACATTTATGGCTTTTTTTTAGTACCTGTGCTTTCCCATATCTTGCTCGAGGACTCTGTGGATATTGACTCACTAATGCTTCAAAGGCCCTTAGAGCTTCTTCAATTTTTCCCTGAAAGGTAGAGATATTTATCAGCAATTCTATCTAATAAAAATGCTGAACGATGCATGACCAAATAATACATTAGTTTCCCCAATTAAAAAACAAAAACAAAACAAAAAATTGCAGACTGAATCAACAGTTTTCACTCATATTTTTGTTGGGATTACCTGCTTATGTAAGAGAAATTAATTGTAATTATTTATGAAACTATTATCCACTTTCCATGGTTAAAATGAATAGCCTTGTTTTAATTTTACTCACTTTCCCTTTATTGACTGGAAAAAATGCTGAGATGACAACAATCTGTCTATATCAAAACATAAAGATTCTACTGCTAATAACAAAATCCAAACTGAATGTAACAGAGAATAGAAAGCAAGTTCTATACAAATCTAGAATTTCCTCTCTGCGTACCTCACACGACCAGCAGTATCGTAACTACAGTTCTTCTAGGGGAAATACTAGACTCATCCAAATATTACACGTCTGATTTGTTCTAAATTTATCCTGCTTCCTACAAGACAAGCATGATTGTCTGCAATCAAGAGACGCAGGCAGGAGAAGAGTCAGCCAACTGACCCTATAGGCTCATCAAAAGTTTCTGTTATGCCTTTCTCTGATCAACCAAGTGTTTAAGTAACAAGAAGCATGAAAACGCTTTTTAATTTTGTATTCTAACACGTAAACAAGGCTCCTAGTGAAGGGCAGCAGCAGAGGCAGCCTGAGGTTGGTGTTCTCCATGTAGTAGCCCTTCAGCCCCATCACAGACCTACAGGAACTCTGGGGCTGCATGGATGGCAATGTAAAGCTAAATCTGCACAGTCAGTCTTCTAAAAATGAAGAATAATCCCACACCTGCAGTGACTAAAATGGTTTTTATTGTACTGTACTGAAAATAGTGTATCTTGTTGCTCAGTCATCTCAAATCCAGGGTAGAACAAAGACCTGCAGTTGTTCTCCATGCGCTAGGACTGTCTGTGAGGCATACCAGAGTTTTTACAAGATTTACACCCAAAAGACTTAAGGTCTTTCATTTCTAACAGTCACATAGTCTTGCTTCACTATTTAATCTCACATCTGGAAAAGGGACACCTCTGCAAAGGTCTTGTTTTCTGAAACATTCAAATGAAAGAATACGATTGGAAGTTATCAGAGGAGATGACTGAAGAGTTTTTGTTTACTGTTGGGTTTTTTTGTTTGTTTTTCACAGTCAAGTTATTAAATTCAAAACTGCCAATGCTGATTGATCAATGTTAAGGTCTTGCTGCCACTGGTGAGAAGCAGGAACATCTGCTTCGTGCTGTAAGCAGCTGTACGGGAGCAGACACTCATGGGACACACACAGAATTCCAGCAGAAAAAATGCCTACTACAAAGATTTGCACCTAATGCTCACGAAGCATATGAACACTTACTGAGAGATCCATACTAACATGCTTATATTATCCAAGTGCTCTGATAATAGTTGACTTCAGCACTCCAATGGACAACAGTGATAGGACAGATCTAACCCTGTTCCATGAGATTAATTTAAGCAGTTTTTTGATGATAGGAATTCAACAGTTAAGCTAAATATTTTCAAGGTTAAAGGTGAGCAAGCACACATGAATAGACATACACTCAACTCAAAAAAATTTCAGATAAACTATCCAACAGAAATGAAACTTGAAGGACAAACGTGCACTGAATGTTTAATTTCACAGAAAGCAATCTGAAAGTAATTTTCCCTTTTTCTAAGTTAATTTTTATTGTATTCATTTTTGTCAACTATTTACAGTCTTGAGGGAAACGTTCAAAACTTACTTTTTTACGTAATTTTTCTGCAGCATCTAGTTCAGCTTTAATGGTCTTATCAAACTTGTTTAAGAGCTTTGGCTTCTTCTTCTTTTTAGCTGGAAGAGATTTAAAACCACACAGTTCATTACTTCTTTCGCATTTCACAGCAATTGTTTGGAGTAACCTTTAACTAGAGACTAGTACTGTGCTGGTAAAGTGTACGATTTTCAAATAAGGCAGTTTCAAAATACACTGAAAAGAAATTGATTTCTTACTTATTACAGTCACAAACTCCTGTATGAAAAAGCAATCCTCAGTCATTCAAACTGAGTAACTTTGCAGTCAAGTTTTTAATAAAGCATTTTTAGTCTCATATAGTCAAGGATTTTTTTCCAAATGGTTCAATCGACGTGGAATAACAGAAAGAACTGTTATTTTTCTGCATTTACATGGTATTATGAGAAGTACCATTACCAGAACATGTTAATAATTTCTGAAGTTGTGCCTATATAGGTCTACTTCTTTGTCTAAAACAATTAAAAGAGTTGACAGAAATCATAGTTACTCAGGGTAGGAGGGACTCAAAAAGTCATGCAGTCCAGCCTGCTGAAAGCAGGTTCAATGCTGAAATGTCTGAGAAGACCTCTTTTAAAGTGATCAAGTTTCCACAGCTTAGCAGGCTATCACATAGTAGCAGGGCAGCAGTATGTAGTAAACCAGTCCTGAAGTAAATTGTGTAAAGTAAATTGCATTTGAAGCAAATTGAAGTAAATTGTGTCACTTTAAGCAGCTATTTACTTCATAGCAGTTCACTCTTAAACACTATTTGGTTGCATTAAGTATACTAGATGTTAAAAAACATGCAAATACACTGCTGAAGGATATGACAGCAGGTAACTTCTTTTCTCCACATTTGTTATAGCTAAATTGCTTTTGAACTTAATTAAAAAAAAAAACCAAAAACTTTTCTGACACAAGTAAGGGAAATATATATTGGCTGACACAAGTAACTACTAGTTATGTATATCTGTAAGTAGTAGCACATATTTTTGCTTAAATTATGCATTACTGTTTTTCCCCTTTACGGACAATAAGTCATTCATAGCATGAAAAGAAGTAAAACTATTATTTTCTTTGTAGAAGTTTAAACAGGGAACGCCATAACTGATATGCGTAAAGCTAAACCCAAACACCATACAGCTTAACATCACAAAATGGCCACAATGCTGTAGCAAGTATTTTGGATAACCGCTAAGGTTATTGTATTAAAGGTATTGTAACTAGTCATGTTTTATTCTGCTTCCCAAGTCCTCAGGTGCACTGTTCAGGGATGACAAGAGCCATCACATACTACTGGAAGCTGTGCTCATGAATCATTAGGTCATACTTTCTCTCTGAGACTCTGATCCTACACAGAGCTTTAGGCAGAGAAATCACTTCGTCTGTGTTAAACCTCAGAGAAAGACCAACACCTTAGTTAATGCTAAGCCAATCCTAACCCCATCCGAGCATTAGAAGGTCTCGTGAGTCTGAGCTGCTTCTGTACAAGATAAAAAAAAAATTGACCACCTTTGATTCTTCCTGTGTAAGACTTTTACTGTCATGTTCAACACTGAACTCTGATAGCTCTGCATGGAGAGAGTTTTTCTTACGTTACCTTTATAAACTATTCTGCAGCATTGGTATGCACAGTTAAATAGATGCTATTGCTTTTCAGGGGCAGGGAGGAAATAGAATTTAAGCAGGATTGAAGCTATCCTACTAAATTCCATTTACTTATTCACAAAGGTCATATGAAGCTTTAAATATAAAAACGTCTTAAGCTCTATAACGGAAAGGTACTAAAGAAGCAGTGCATTAGGATTATTATATCCCTGTTGATCCTTCTTGTAAATAGAAATGACTGTAATTTTCCAAGGCATTAGCTACCAAGAAGGTAAGAAGGAAAAAAAAAAACCAACTGTCTGACATACAGGATTTTACTCCTTTTTCAGGATAAACTGCCAAATAGCATACTTTAATATATTCGTTTTGCTCCCCCAAAACACTTCAGGTCTTCATTGTACCCTATGACTTTAAATCAAGCATTTATTTTCAAGCACACAATAATGCACTTAAAGAATGTAGTTATCATGGAACTGAACTGACCAAAGAAATGCTTTGCCTTTTTTTTTTTTAAATATAATAATACAGATGGTTTTCATGTCTTTTGTTCATTCCCCATAGATAATATAGTAGAAATGCATTTCAGTCCGTGGCCGATTCCAGTCTTGCTATGTCTTACTTTAATATTGACCATTTCATAGAAAAGCAATGTCTTTACTGCATTTTCATGCAGTTAATGATGATAATGATTAAGGAGCACAGCACTGGCTCTGTTCCAAGTGTTCATACCCCTTGAATCCAGCAGAACTCACAGAAACAGCTCTCATCATGAGAGCAAGGATCCCTCCACCCCAGACCTTGAGTCCACAGTGACTAACAGGTGTGGACAGAAGTTTCTGACATAACGTCATCGGGCCTGAAAAGAACAATCCGTAACATGCAAAAGGTTTGTTGGGTTTTGTGGTTTTTATATTTGCTTTTCTGAAAATATGCCAGCTCAGTCTTTTAAGAAACCATTGCTATTTCTAAGGCCTGGCTTGCTCCAGAGTAGGTGTGGATGAACTCTGAAGCATCAGCCCAAGGAGCCAATAAAAGAAAGTGTCCTTCGGGTCTTTTTAGGTTGGTTGAGCTCACAGCTGCTATATGAAACTGTCATTTGTTGTTAGCAGGAAAACTGAGGCATGTCAGTTCCTCTGGGTAGATGATCTGGGGAGCTTCCAGCTGAACATCAGTTTGTTCCTGTTCTCTAAGTAGGAGGCTGTACATACAAGAAATGATGTAAACCACAACTAAAATGTCCATTCTCAGTTCCTATGGCATGAATGAAAATCTTTATCTAAGACTGGCCAGCTACACAGAAGAGAGGACAGCTATTTGTCAGCTTTCTAACTTTCAGTATTCATGGAAAGACGTCGTCATTTGGACCTTCTCAAACTCGGTAAGCATAGCAACAGCGAGGTTCCTTCAAGGCAATGGAAAGAAGCTTTCCCACCCAACAAGAAACTCTTACTGCCTGTGGGACACTGTTTCCATAATTCCTTTGCATTTACAAGGAGATGAGACAGAAACAGCTCAGAAGAAAGAGTGAATGAAAATCTTACAAGTCCGTGGCACAAAGATATATCTTTCCCCTCATATCTGACTTTGGTCATGTGTTGGAAGAACCTTTTTGCCACCCTCCATTATAAAAAAGTATTATCTTCCGATTTTCAGTACAGTTATATATCAGCTCTAGACCAGCAGGAGATCAATATGAAAAGCTGGAAAGGAGCTGTTAACATAAATATTATTCAGCTGCTAGGCACCAATATAACACGGTAAACATTATATAATGAGCAATCATTTTCATCTCCCATTCTACTCCTATGTTAAAGGATTCACCGGGGAGCTTTCAGCGTAACCATCAAGCATTCCTCTATATTAACCAGATAGCCTACTATCTCCCTGCAGGGGTATTTTAATAAATTATCCATTGCCTCCTTCTAGTGTAATAAACTTTTCGCAGATGTGACCCAATAGCTTAAATTCAACGTTACAAAGAAGTTAACTTATCTGTTTTCAGAGGGAAAAAACATGTAATTTTTCATCAGTGACTTACAGATTCCACCATGTAGCTGAAGTAATGCACGATCACACAAGTGCTAGGGTGACTTGTAGTCCAAATCTCGTTGAGCATTAAAATGGTAATAATTCTTCTATATATCATACTATGGTCTTGCAAGAATAATACTGAGGATTTTCAGTAATTATCTTGGATGTAAGGATAGGCTTTCTATCTAGGATTGCTGTCATAGGATTGCTGAAGACTCCCTCAGAGAAAAGGGTTTCCACTCTTAAAGCAGAAAGCTAGGAAGAAGTCTCTTATAAGAAACTCCATGCTAGGTCTTTCTGTTGGAGAATAAACAATGGCCGGTGACGATAAGCAATCTCATATCTCCCTTCTATATTAAGATACAGAAGAAAAACAAACAAACAAAAAAAAAACCCAAGAAGGAAAATATTTTGAAAGTGGTAATGTATTAAATGTGCAGTAAACTTAATAGCCTGCAATGTCATCCAATGAAAGATGATGAAATAGCTCTTTTATATACCTATTTTGGCATATAAAAACTAAAACACCGGGCATATTTTATGATTTTATGTTGAAAGGCACCTTGTCATCACCAAAAGCAGTGACAGTCTTTTTCTACAAAGGACAGAGAAATACCTTTTGAAAACTGAAGGCACTGCTAGATACTCTTCAGACCACAAGAGCATCACGTGAAAAATAAGAAGTAACGAAATGATTAAAGGTGATTGAATCACTTATTTTTGAAGAACGGTTTAAAAATATTTTGTCTTTAATTGGCGGGTGCAACATTTACATCTGAATAAGCAAGGACAAAGGGGAAAATGGTAATAGTAAAGAGTTTGCCACTGGAAGAGGGGTACATACCACTCTGTAAAAAGTAGCTCCAGAGATGAAAAGAATAAATTAATTTCTATATCACCATAGTCAGGACAAGGAATAAAAAGCTTAAAATTGCTGCAACAGAAAATTTGGCTTGAACATCTGGAACTAGTATCTCTGAGCAAGCACAGTAGAACAGATTGCTGAGGATAGTTGTGGAATTCCAATTACTGGAAATTTGTAAGAACAAGTTGTATAAGCATCTGCCAGGAACGATGCACACAGTTGATAAGGCCTTTGGTCAACAGAATAGACAAAGTAAGCTTCAGGGTCCCACCTAGTCTTATTTTCTACAATTTCTGTTATATACTGCTATATGTCAATGTGCTTTAGTGCCAAGACTATAATTACACAGGGAACTTCCATTCTCTCATTTGTTAAAGAAATTCTCCCAGAAGCTCGTTGTGCCAGTCATCACCGTGACTGAGATTCCTCCTAGCCCTATACCAGCAACAGAATTTTGAAGTTCAAAAATAAATGGATCAGCTACAGATTATCTGGTTTGTCTAACAATCATGATTTTATGTTCTGCAGCTTCTACTCAACCATTAAGCTTCTGTT